ATTGGATTTAATAATGGGTTGTAATTGTAAACATATAAACAATTTAAGGGTTCAATTGTTATGTAAACAATTTAAGAGTTAAATTGTTAATTATGATTAAATATTAATCCAATTTCATAATTATGGAATTAGTTATAACCCTCAAAAACTTATGAAATTGAATAAGGGCATCCTTGAACAATTATAGAATTGTTTATTGGCTCACCTATATAAAGAAAATGATATTCAATTTTTAATATAATGAAAAATTGAAAAGCCCTAGCATTTTTCTCTCCTCAGTTGAATTCTCTCCTTCAACTTGGTGTGGACTTTCTTTTGCTAATTTCTCTTGAAATTGGAAGATAACCTAGCTACTAAGGAACTAAGCTAACAAGTTTTTACCTTATTTAATTCAAGTTTTTTTAATTTTATTTAAAAACCCTAATATGCATAGTATAGTCAATAGTGATATATGCTTTCAATTCATGTTCTTCCATGCAATCCGTCTTTCAAATGGTATCAGAGCCAAGGAATTGATCATTGTTTGTCTAAAATTAACCACAAAAATTCATGTTCAAATTTTGAATGATGTTGTGTAATTTTTCAAATTTTGATTTGTGAAGTTATATGTTAACTTGCTTTGTAAAAGTTGTAGATCCATACATGTGTACACTTTATATGCCATAAAAATTGATTTTGATCATGTTAGTTGACTAGCAAAATTTTGGCCATGACAAGTTTGTAAATTAATTGTTAATTAATTGGCATGCTTGTTTAGACAATACAATTTTTATGATGTTTTAATGGTGATTAGAATAATTTTAGATGCATGGAGTTGAATTTAGGTCATGAGAGAAATGTTGCATAAATTTTGATTTGATGCAAAAAGGTTTATTTGATTTTGTTTGATCTTATTTGGCATAATGTGTTATGATAAATTGTGTTTATTAAATATGTAATTTAATGGACATTAAAGGGTATTTAGATAATTTGCCTTAAAAAGTTAAGAATAAAATTGTCTTTGTGCCAAAAACATGGAAAAGTAGTGTAAACACAATTTAATTGTTAATCATGTGTTTGATAAGATTAATTGGATTAATGTATATTAATATGTCATGTTGTCTTATAAGATAAGCCTAAATTTTCTTCACCAATTTTTAATTGTCAAATGTTGGTTATATAATTTCTTATTTTGTGTAAATGTTATATAATGCCCTAATGTTTAATAAAAAAAATTTTAATTAATGATTACTAATGGACAATTTATTAAATATAATCGATATATAGGATATGTGTGTTATATTAACATAATGCATATGTGTTATGTTTGATAACATGTGAAGCCATATTGAAGCATGTAATATGGTTATATGTTTAATGCAAATTAATTATGTCATTGTTTATAGTTAAGTTTTAATATTTATACTCGGTGTTGAAACTTAAATTTATGGCATGACATTTAGTTTTAGGTTTGTAGTTTGGGGTTTATGTTTTATATTTAGTTGATACATATGATGGATATGTATAGGATAGATATTAAAACATTAACCTAAAACAAAACCTAATCTTTAAATCTTCTTTAATTAAAATATTAAGTTAAAACCTTCCACTATGGGTCAATTGGATTCTTTGTGATAAAATTAAATATCTTAAGATTTCTATTATGTGAGGGTTATTAATTTTATTGCATAGAATTGCTTGTCTTGATACTTGAATATAAATTCACATTATGTCCAAGATTTCTATTATGTGAGGGTATTATGAGAATTCTATTTTGAGAAAGCATAATGGGTCCGAATTGACTAGTCCAGGGTACTAAGATTTCTATTATGTGAGGTATCCGAAAACTAGAGGCAAGGAATTGAATCAAACCTTATATGGAGATATAAAAGAAAAATAGTTTTCTACTTATTAGGCTTAATGAACCAAGATTTCTATTATATAAGGTTACATTAAGTTTAATAAGAATTTGATTCCCCATTAGAAATTTAATCCAACGAAATTTTTGAATCTTCATCCGGGAAAGTATAGAATTTGAATAAAATAGTAGGAGCTAATTGGATTAGTGGGAGCTAATTAGATTAGCTTAATAAAAGATATATGTGACAAAACACTCATAATTTTTTTTTTTTTAATTTCCTTGCAGCATCTCTCATAAAATATAAAACCGTAAAAGATGAATAATCTATTGTTGAAAATCCTAGATGAGAACAAGAAGTTAGTTGGCCGTAGTAATTTCAATGATTGACTGAGAAAACTGACAATAATATTAAATTCAGAAAACGCAGCCTACATTTTAGAAACGCCCTTGCCTGAACCTCTTCCTTCTAATGCTCCTTCTGATGAGCATAACGAATATAACAAATAAATGGAAGATGAACATAGAACTTGCTCTTTCATCGATGAGTGACGAATTCCAAAAAAAGTGTGAAAAGATGAAAAGTGTTAATGAAATTTACCTCATGTTACAAGAGTTGTACCGTGAAAATTTGAGGATAAGGCAATATGAATTAAATTCAACTTTATTTGGAATAAAGTTGAAAGAGGGTATGTCACCAGAAGAACATGTCATGAAGATGATCAACATTCTAGGGCGATTACATGCCATGAAAATTGAAATGTCAGACACCCTCAAGGTGGATTTAATTCTCTAGTCTCTACCTTCAAGTTTCACACCTTTCATCAATAATTATCATCTCAATAGGATTGAAAGAAAACTTCTTGATTTGTTAAATGAGATTCAACAATTTTATGATCATGAAAGAAAAGGCAAAAGGCACGAGGTTGTTAATATGCTTCTTCCAGCAAGACAAAGAAGAAAAAGCCAATGAAATTCCAAAAGAAATTGGAAACAAAACGCTAAGGGAAAGGGGTTTAAGAAAAAGGTTGCACCTCAAGTCAATAAATCTAAAGAAAAGGGCCAATGATTTTGGTGTAAAGAAAATGAGCACTGGAAGAGGAATTATCCTCTATCTACAAAGTCTTAAGAAGACTAAAGCACTTCTCATTGAGAAGATTGGATCAAGTATTTCCCAATGCTATGTCATTGAATTTGAATTAAATGTTAGTTCAAATAATTCATCCTGGACATTAGATTTAGCTGCTACTTCACATATTTGTGTTTGTTTGCAAGATTTGCAGAATAATTCTGCTATGGCAAAAGATCAAGTCATGCTAAGAATGGCGTATGAAGTAAATGTTTACCCTTCAATTCAAGTTAGTCCCAACGGTTTCAAACCTTTCAATTAACCCCCTGAGAATCCTTCAACCAATTACAATTTAAAATAAGACCCAAAACCCAATCAACACAACTTTTGGGGCCTTATTAACAATGGGCTAGTCCGCTTATTAAATTAAACCCATCAATTAATAAATAACTCAAAAGTCCAACTCTTTCAATTAACCAAACACTATTGGGCCCAACTACTTCAATTAACCCCATTAACTCCAAAGCCCAAGTGATTCAATTAAACTCATTAACTCCAAAACCCAATCATTTCCATCAATGTTCCGAAAACCAAACCGGGCCTTGACCCGTTCAAGGGTCTGGTTCCCGAATTGACCGATTGGATCGATCGGTTGGACTGTATCCTGTAAAATTCTTTTTAGTTCCTAAATGTTTGAAATTCATCAAAAACACCCCTAAATAATTACAAATGACTCCCTTAAGGTTTGAAATCTATCCAAAACACCATGTCGCGCAAAGAGACTAGTGAGTGGTGGCGACAGCAACATTCGACGGCCAATCAAAGTTTGGAATCATGAGGCTTTTGATGTATAGGTGCCGACGAATCTTATGGTGGTGTTAAGGGGTTCTACCAACTCCTGAATTTGCCAGAATCAAGAAGAAAGGCCGACGGTTGCGTGAACAATAGGTGGACGACGATCGACGACCAATCAAAGTTTGGAATGATAGGGTTTTTGATGTAGAGGTGTCGACAAATCTTATGGTGTTGTTAGGGAGTTCTAACGGCGTCAGAATTTGTCGAAATCAAGAAGAAAGGCCGACGGTTGCGTGAACAATAGGTGGACGGTGAGCTACGAAAGGCTGGACGACGGCTACTGAAAATGGATGGGTTTTGTCATGGAGATGCTGTCAAGTCTTATGGTGGTGTTATCTCCCTCGAACGATACTGAAATCCAACGGGATTGACTAGCGATTCGATCGCTATTCGACACTATTCTAACGGTCCAATTGTAGCTCAATCCGGTTTGATTAAGAATATCGGTTTTCAGAGGAAATCGGACTGAAGATGATGCCAGTTCTCGATCAAACCAATCCGATCGATCGGTCCAGTCCGATTTTCTGAACACTGATTTTCATCCCATTATTTTAATTAATAAAACCCAACAACACTTCAAACCCAAATCCTATATCCATCCAATTGTTCAATCCATAAAAATATATATTTGCCAACCACCATCACATGCCTAACTCGGCTCAACTGTTTCCAAATAAACAAAAGTAATAAAGCCCAACACCCTTTATTGAACTTAAACTCTACACCTTCAAAATCTATCCATTTCTTTCATGAGGCTGGCAATCATTTGTATTCACAAGACAAGTGAGGGTAGAGGTATATGGACGTTGAAATGGAACGTGGCACTCTCCAAAATAAAATGAATATTTAATCAAACCTATTATATTTTCACCAATTAAACGAGGTCAATTAAGCTTGCTCATCACCTACCAAATTTCCCCAATTTAACCTCCACCATTGTATTTCATACAACACTCCTAACCATCCATTCCATCATACCAGCCCCATCTATTGGCTAGATTTTTGTTCCCATCTCAATCAATCCAAAATCAAGCTCATTATACAATATCCAAAATATATATACACATAAATACATCACTAAGTTGCAAACATAAAATCTTTAACTCTACGAGAGTACCCGCCAATTTAGAATGCATTTTTCATCACCAAAACACACATCAAACGCTACAATAAGCTTCCAAGCATTACATACAATAGAAAATCAGTTTCTAGCAAGGAAATTTTGGTAGATCCGCTCACCTTTTAGAAGTTGAATCCTTGATCCGAAGAAGGATTGAAATCCTCTAATGGTGCCCTCACTTCCCTCCCTATATACAAATCCAATAAATCCTCCATACACAAGTCCCCCTAAGGTAACACATCAATATAAAAATCATTGGACACTTCATACACCAAAAGATCAACCTAACTTCTTCTTTAACAAAACTGTCTCATAACCGATCATTGGTTGCTCTCGGATTTTTCATAAAAATTACATTCATCAATTTTAGCCATAATTTTAATGGAGCATTCCAGATACACATAAGTTATTCCCATAATTTTCTCAAGCCATTCCAGAATCAATAACTATTTAAAACATAATTTTCTTTTAACTCATTCAAAACTGCCAACTGTTACCAGAATTGAGGTTACTGACTTGTAAAATTCGTAACAATTTAACCTTTAATCGACACCTCACGAAACTCTCCAGAATTAAACTAGACACATATATGATTCACCAAAATTTAAAATCACTCAATTTGGATAAGAACAGATGCATCAAATCATTTTCCAAAAATACACGTTCTGCAGAAAACAAAAATTCCAGAATTGCTGGGAAAATTTCAAAAATCCATATAAAATTTAATACTTTGAGTTTTTTAGTGAAATAAATTTCTAAACACTCCTCAAGAAATCTACAACATAATATCAAAAATTCAGCTTCAAACAGCAACCCAAAATATGTAAACAATTTTCGAAATTCCAGATGGTTAGATTTTTGTATAGTAAACTCTTATATCAAAAGTCATATCTTTCCATTTTTTTAAGAACAACATATATGTTTAACCACATAAAATTATTGAAATTAATCTCCCTATTTAGTTCAATCTCATGCTATTATATTCAATTATAACCAACACAAATCAAATGAGCTAAAACTCATCAAAGAGAGAAATTTTTAAGCTTTACTCACCTCCCCTGTGCTTGATCTTCCTCCACTCTTTCCGATCACCGAAGTTTTGCTCGTCGGCAGCCACTTTTCCAGCCACCTCAATCTCTCTCTTCTCTCCTCTCTCTCTCTCTATACTCGCATTTCACCTATCTCTCCCTTCTTTCTTTTCTTTCTTTTTTTATCTTTTCTTCCTCTTCTCTTCTTCTCCTTTCTCTCTTTTTTTATCTTTTCCTTCTCTCCTTTTTCTTCTCTCTTTTCCTCTCTTTTCTTTCTTCTTCGCCGTTTTTTTATTCTTTGAAAAACTACTGTTCATCAAAATATGGCAAGTCCCCACTTTTTTTGTCTTGACCTTTACTCCCTCAAATCTTTCAAATTCTTACACTTTACCCCCAAAATCTTAAAATAAAATTCCGTAAAAATACGGGGTATTACATGTTAATCTCCAAATATTTATCTACCAGACTCCACTCTCTTGGTAATTGTCTTGTTTCTGGTCAGTTTCCTCCATGCCCTCCTCCATATTCCAGAAAAACCTCGAAGACTCCACTCCACTTTTTAAGAAGTCTTTCTAGCTTAACTTGGTTCTTTTTTTCCAAAAAATCCCTTCATTTTAATCCACTTTAAACTTGGAGGCCGATGGAAAGAAGGGCATTTTTTCTGGTTCTCTTCTGTAATCCGACTTCATGTGCATACCCACATACTCTGGATAAATAATTATAATGTAAAGAGATTGAAGAACAGGACAGCAACTAGGAGCCAAGCCGAACCTTCAAATGCTTCAGATTGCAAAAGTGTGGGCAAATGATCCATGAAATTTATTGCATATTGCAAACTCTGCAACAACAAAAAAAGGATCATAAATAAATTCTGATAAAATTAATTCATCCCAAACAGATGATAATAAAGAAATTATTTCACCTTAATAGTTCGTTCTTTGGTTGAGACCCTCAACTTTTCGAAAATTTCTAATTAATTTACGAACAGAGAGACCTCTTATTTCATTGTCTCACCTCCACATCTGATTCCAACTGTAGCTACATTCAAATTGGGGAAATTCTCTATTTCAACTGTATGTGCCTCTATTTGACAGCTGATTAAAATCCTCAACATTTGGACTGTTCAACAGTTGTTCACAAAAGTTCTTGCCCCTTTTTTTTTCCTATATAGACGCATGCTCTTCAGCTTCGGGAAACAAAAAAATTTAGGAAACCGGAGAAAACGTTGGAGAATCTTCAGCTTCACTAGCGTTTTAAAAATTTAATAAATATTAAATATTTTTTATTCAATATAAAATATAATTGTTTTTAACGCGTTCTAAGTTTTTGAAAATCTTTATTGTCAATATTGTTAAACAAGTCAAATAAAAGAAATAATACTGTTATGCCTGAAAAAGTAGGGTTGACATCAGCATGAGATGGTCAGAACTTGAAAAAGTTTTTCGACCGTTCAGATGCACCCACGTCGTATAATGACGTAAGCGGCATGCCCCTGTCAGTGCAGTGGGTGAGTGTCAGGTTAGCGGATGGTTGGAAATCGTCCATGCGTCCAATCCCCACATAAGTCGAGAAAATCACTCAAGCAAGTGAACAATAGGACGCAGAGAAAGATTTGCACAGTATCCACCCACTTGCAAATTTAGTAATCATTACCTTGGTTTATCCCACTATAAATAAAGGTCTTCTCTCTCATTTGCGGGATTAACTAATTTCACTCTAAAATAACTCTCTCTCTCTCTCTCTATTGTATCCTAAAAATTGTAACTCAACTCGTTGAACGTGACCTGATCTTATTCATTAATACAATATCAGTGGATGTAGGATTCGCTCTTGAGCATCTGAACCACTTTAAACATTGCTCTTCACCCTTTATTTAACTGAATATTTCCATATCACGTGTGACTTCTAAGTCTGCTTAACATTTCTCAAGTGCGAATAGTTTGTGTCAAAATCAAGCATCAACAGTTTGGCGCTAGAAGGAGAGCCTGATTTAGTACCTACTCTTCATTAGAAAAAACCTCTGACTAATCGATCCCACCACAGCAAATGGCTCGCAGTTTCGAATCTGAGTGAACCAATTATGGCAATGAAGAGATCCCCCAGGTACAGAAGGACACTTTTCCCGAAGTGCCCCCAATCCATCAGAATATCATGGGGGATATCCCTTCAAGCTCACGGCTTGATCCGGCCATCATGAGTTACCTGAAGAAGTTCAATAATGCTCTCCAAACGGTCAGCTAAAGGCTAGATCGAATGGATCGGGTCACGCCACCTGAATCCAATGAGGCAGTGCCACCGCCGAAGACACCTGCAGGTCGCGTGAAAGTGCGGAAAAGGGCGAAAGCCCATACCGCGCGCATACAGCATGTTAGAGGAAGGGAAAGCAAGTGGCACGCAGCGGACCCAAAGGCTCCAAGGGACTAGCGAACACCGATCGCGCCCCAGGCAGTTACCCGTGGCATTACGACTTGACGATATATCGCAGCATAAGCCGTCCCACGCCATGTCGCACGGGCACTCCCACAAAAGTGCAAGACTAAGAGATTCCCAATATCGCTAAAAGGACGACTTCTATCGTCGTTGTGCAGGGGATTCCCATCGTCCACGGGTCAATTCTTACCACCGCAGAGGTCGGAAAGATTCCTCAAACAACTCGATGCAGTCACACGGCTCTAGCCAGCGTGTGTTGAGATTGGCTAAAGCTTCCGACCGAGGTGAGGAAGAGTTCGATTTGCAGTCCTTCCTCAACTGCAACCATGAGGGTCAAACCCATGTTGCGGAAAGTGATTCCTAGGCAGCTCCGCTGCCTTAGATCGAGGAGATATAGCAAGCACTAGATCAGCTTAAGGCTCGACAAAATGAGCAATGGCAGGTGGCAGAGGCGTCTCCATTTTCTCCGACAGTGTTAGCTACTCTTCTCTCATCGAGATTCAAAATGTCTGACATGCGAGCATTCGATAGGAACTCTAATCTGCAGGATCATCTATACGAGTTCAACGACCTCATGGAACTCCACCAAGTCTCTAACTTGGCAAAATATCGTTGCTTGGTGATGACCCTTACCTCCCATGCCAAGCGATGGTTTAGATCGCTCCTAGCAGGATCAGTCAGCTTATGACCTCAAATAAGCTCAACATTTCTAAGGCACTTCCAGTCGAACAGGAAGTTCTCAATGCCTCTAAGCAACATAAGGCAAGAGAGGGATGAATCCCTCCAATCTTATATAAACAGGTTCCACAAGGAGCTCCACAAAGTGGCTCGCACTCCCGAAGAGTCTGTTCGGACTCTCATCATTGCGGGAGTTCGCCCGCATACAGACTTATGTAAGGAACTGTAATCTGTGGATAATGTTTCCCTCACTCGCTTCTACAACCTTACTAAAAAGTATCTCCGCATCGAAAACTCCGTGGCTGCACTCAACTACCGCAACCCCGGTCTTTCGGGCAATGTTCCTGACCAAGGGGAAAACAGGAGAGCTGATTGCATATGGGCTAATGACGATCAGCGAAAAGGAAAGAAGCAACGATAGGAGCCCAAGAAATCATATGCCTCAGTTCCTCATCGCGATTGCGACAAGAGTCAATACACTCCTCTGAATGCCTTAGTATCGGCTATTCTAGATAAATCAGAGGAGGTCGGCTTGCTCAGAGAACCCAAGCCCATGAAAAATCCCCCTTCAGCCAGAAACAATAAAAAATACTGTCGCTATCATCAGGATAATGGGCACTACACTGATGAGTGTCGGGTCCTCAAGCAAGCAATCGAGGACCTCATCAAGCAAGGGCACTTCAAAGAGTATGTCGATGACTCTGCTCCCATTCAGGAAAAAGATCAAGAGGAAGCGGAAAAGAAGCGTCGTGGTCGCAAAGGTCTCTACTATGTGGGGATCATCTTTGGAAGACCACACCTCGTAGGGAATTCTCGAGGTGCCCATGAAAGGTATACTCGCATAGCCCGTCATGACCCCATAAGTGTGATAAGCACAACGCCGTGACCCGCAAAGGTTCTCAAAAAGGAGGAAATCCCCTTCTCTGAGAAAGACGCGGTGCGATTGCATCATCCCCATGACGATGCTCTCATCATCACGCCTGAAATAAGAAATTGTGAAGTCAACAGAATGTTGGTGGACAATAGAAGCGCCGTGAACATCTTGTTCCAGCGAGCCTTCGAGAAGATGAAACTAGACAAGACAAATCTGAAGCCTGCCTCTATCCCCCTGTATGGTTTCACCGAGAATCATTTGATTCCTAAATAGACGATCTCGCTCCCAATCACGTTGGAAGAGACCAATGAGATGACCAAAATGACTAAGTTCTTAGTAGTGGACTGTCCATTCGCTTTCAATGGCATCTTGGGACGACCTCTACTACAAAGCTTTAAGCAGTCACTTCAATCTACCATATGAAGATGAAGTTCCTCACCCCGACGGGGATAAAGGAAGTGAGTGGATCTCAATGCGCATCTCGCGATTGCTATGTAAGGGCAGTGCAGATGGCGTGCAAAGGAAAAGGAACTCCAATCGGCATCCCTGAGCAGGCAATAGCAATCAGCAGGATTGAGTCACAGTCTGGCCCAACTGAGGATAACATAGATCCTCGCATCCAGGAATACCCTTGCAGCGGGTTGGTCGAAGACCTATCTGAGGTGTTGGTCGATCAAAGCGAGCCAAGCCGAGTGTTGAGAATCAGAAGTAATCTCAACCCCCAGCTCACCAACAACCTGACCAGCTTCCTTAGGAAAAACATCGACGTATTCACATGGACTCATACTGACATGGTCGGGATCAGCCCGAATATTATATACCATGCCCTAGATATTGATAATGAGGTCAGACCGATTTGCCAGAAGAGAAGAACAATGGATCCGGAGTGATATGCTGCCTTGAAAGTTAAGGTAGATAATCTCATCTTAAACGGATCCATCCAAGAGGCACTCTACCAACACTGGGTTGCGACCCGGTCTTGGTAAAGAAGCCCAACGGCAAATGGCGGACTTACATTGACTTCACCGATCTCAATAAAGCATGTCCGAATAATAGCTTTCCCTTGCTAAGAATCAACCAGCTCGTCGATGCCAACTCCGGGCACGAGCTGCTAAGTTTTATGGATGCCTACTCGAGATACAATCAGATCCTGATGTACACGTCAGACGAAGAGCATACCTCCTTTGTTACAG